AATGGTACGAGGTGCGCCCAGAGAAACCGGACTCACCCATTGACCCGGGTTCGAGTCGTCAATCTGGGAGCCTCTACCATTTTTTTGTGTTTTTATAAAACACGTAATCCCAGAATCCGTGTTTTAAGATAAAAAAATGCGCACGGATTCTGAGAATCCGTTTTTCCTTAAATATATATAAAAAAAGAACTCGTCTTCATTACAGAGACGAGAGAGTACAGACAGAGAGAGCGACGCGAGGCGAGAGACGGCGTGGTTAAGCCACGCCGTGCAGACACCCAGTTCTGGGATGCATTGAAGGACAACAACCAGCATGCCCGGACATGGGAGGCGATCGAGAAGGCCGGCTTCGGGCCTTTATTTCAGATGGGGCGAATCCAAACAAACAATGCCCTAATTACATGCCTGATTGAGAGGTGGCGCCCGGAGACGCACACATTCCACTTCGACTTCGGGGAGGCCACTATTACGCTACAGGACGTTCAGATATTATTTGGCCTCCCCGCCAATGGAGATGCGATCTGGGGCAACACCATACATCGGTCTGCCCAGGAGTGGAGAGACTACTGCTTTTACTACCTAGGGTATTACCCGTATGTACAGATATATTTTTTAGTTAAAACTTTTTTTTGCTTATTTTTTTTAATTATTATTATGTTTATGTATGCTTAAGTCATACGTCGTTTTTTATTTATTCTAAACGTATTTCAAGGATCGCGACGACCCGGCCTTCGACCCCACTCAGTGGGATATTTCTGGCCAGTACTTGTACTTCTCGAGTTTAGAGACAGAGTGCAAGCGACCTCTGAGGGATGGACTCGATACATCAGAGTACGAGAAGAGGGCGAGAGTCCTGATACTCTGGTGTATTGGGTCCTTCTTCTTCACCGACCATCGGGCCAACGGGGTCAACCTTTACTGGTTGTCCCTGTTGACTGACATCGAGGCCATACTGGGGTACAGCTGGGGTGCAGCGGTTTTGGCCGGGTTATATAGAGCGCTTTGCGAGGCCTACGAACCGAAGGAAAAATTTATCAAAGGCTGCGTGCAATTGATGCAGGTAACTTTAATTACTTGTTAATCGCAAATTAATTTTATTTATTATAAATTACAATAATATGTGCTAAAAAATGTATATGTCCATATGTGCAGGTTTGGGCATGGGAACGCATCCCTCGGCTTAGCCCAACCATGAAGAGAACGCAGTTCGGCTCTCAGCCAGGTCTTCCCTTGGGTGCAAGGTAATAATAACCTTTAATTATATTTAACACTTGAGTAATTTCAATTATCAAATTTTCTAATTACAAATAGTTTTTTTCTATGATTTTTAAGGTGGGTGGGATCGAAGGATATGCGACACCTGGTGACGGGCACGGCTGCTATTCGGGATCAGCTGATTAGCCTGAGGGAGACCGATGTAAGTTTTTTCCGTCAAAAAAATAATTATTAATTTTTTAATTCTATTTTTTTTATAAATTCATTAATAATTCTATAATTATTTTTTTACAGTTTATTTGGGTACCCTATCAGTCGTACATAGACGCTGATCAGCTCCCAGATCAGTGTACACGAGACCGAGGTATCTGGATGTACAGGGGGTTCATCTTCTGTTGGAATATCGCAGAACCCCACGAGCCTGATAGGGTGCTCCGCCAGTTTGGGTGTCACCAGCCCATCCCGCAGACGCCACTCATTACGAGTCTGGCCGATTGGGACGACCGCCACAAAGGCCAGAGCATGACTTGGAGGGCATACACCGATTGGGGGGCCTTCCATTCAAATCTTGGGAGGATCTGGACC